GTGCTTTTCCTTCCTCCCGGCTTAGAGAGGTCTTCAAGGACCCGGCTAAGAGAGAGACAGAGGGAGAAAAGTGTGTATTTGTGTCTGTGTGTGAGGAGACAGAGAAAGAGGGAGGGAGAAGATAAACAGCGAGGGAGATAAAGAGAAAAAGCAAGGAGGCAAGAAGAATTAGGGATTGAGGGATGGTTAATGCGGTGAGAAGGATGTGAAGCATGAGGATTTGACTTTGGCAAGCGACATTGAAAATAAGGAGTTTTGAGATTGTAGTGCGGAGAGAAATGTGTGGATGCCAGTGGAGGAGGTCAGAGGAGGTGGGAAATATCTCCCATCTCCTCTCCTCGCCTGCCCCCTCGTCTTTCCACTCTACCGCCCCTTATCGTTCACCCGTTTCATTCTTCTCCTCCTCTCTGCAGTTCTCCTACTTTCTTCTCACCTCTCCCTCTGATCTCTCACTCTCACTACAGGCTGCCTCAATAGCCAGATACACACATCCACCCCCGCATGCATCTGTATCTCCTCTTTGCATACGCTCCAGACTGAAATCCGGCCCTTAGAGATGGATCAAAGCAGAAGGAGTAATGATGGCGTGCAGGCACACTGGGAGGGGAGGAGAGGAAGAGTTAGTGTAAGGACAGAGTGGAGAAAGAGAGAGGGATAGAGAGGAGTAAGGGAGGTTTGCAGGCTAAGAGGAAGACAGAGAAACAAAGGAGGGGTGAGACCTCTTTATCGATCATGCCCCCGCAGGGTCCTGCTGTGTTTTGCACTGATAGAACGAGTCTCCCAGCTTCTTATATCCTGCGGTTAAAGCCAGGTCCCCACGGTAACCATAACAAGTAGTGATGGCGGTGTCTCCCGTGGTGTGTGACAGCTCTGAGCATCCGCCTTAATAGAATTCGCTGCAGAGGTGACAAATGCTGAAAATTAAATGTCAAAAGTGTCAAAACATTATAAAAGCCTGTAGCTCCTGTCTCCCCTGTTTGCTTTGCTAAATGTTTGAGATGTAATTCAAAACAGCCATTTTGTCGGACAAATGTGCGTGCATGTGCATAATAGAATATCTCGGTACAACACGAAAAGGCTGAGTAACAGAGACAAGGTTAGGATGCTACTTTGCTTTTTAATGTCAAACTTGAAGGGCTGGTTAAAGTCATTTCTTTGAAATCTCACTTTAACTGTTTGAATTCCAAAGTCCCTCCTGAAATGTTAAATCCTTTATTATATCATGCTAGTCACATTTGTCACACACGTGTTTTGGCCCGCCTCTATTATCTGGCTATAATAGAACAGCCAAAGAGAACAAAGACTTTTTTATCCTGATCTTTGGCGAGCCTTACATCTCTTTTTCTGTCCAGAAATGTGGGAAATGTTTCTGCTTGCGCAACTGAGAGAAGTGCACTCCATTAACTGTGTGTGTGTGTGTGTGTGTGTGTGTGGGTGTGTGTGTGTGTGTGTGTGTGTGTGTGTGTGTGTGTGTGTGTGTGTGTGTGTGTTNNTTTAGCATTATAAACAACTTCTAAAAGTGTGATTAGAAAAGCCAAAACTAAAAATCTAAACGAAGGGCAAAGGTCAGCTCTGAGCACATGACGCCCACTTATATTTGGAAAGAGGAGCAGGGTGGCGGAGAAACCCCAGAGGGAACACCGCCATGTTTCCCAGACACAAAAAAGGGCGGCGAAACCTGAGGTAACATACAGTGAATATCATCTCCTCTGGGTAATGAAATACAATATGTAGACAAATGTCAGCCTGCAGGTGACGCAAGCTAACCTCCCCTGATCCAAAAGTCAGTCTTGTGATGTTGGACCTGATTTACAAAACACGATCACTCACCCCTAACCTCAATACCTCATTTTGAGACATCAGAATTATGGCTGGTAGTAAAAGACGGGCAGGGATATTCTGGATGACATAAACACCGCCTCCGCCTCCTGCTACTCGAGGAGAAATGCCTGTAGCTGTCAAATAAAGAAGGCTCCCAATTCCTGTTCGAGCCGGGTGCCGCGGAGAGAAGGTGATGGAAAGTCTTAAGACGCTCAAGTAGCGGGGGGGGTGGGGGGGATCAATAGTGCTGGGACAGTGATATAACCCCAGTGTTATACAGGTAGCAACACATAAGAGACAAGTTGTAACGAGAGACAGTCGGAGAGCAGGAGACGCCTACATTTCTGACTTTCTGCTGAAGCCTACCAACTTCCCCCCCGACCACATGACATTTACAATCTGCTGCAGGACTTTTAATATGTAGCCTCTGGGTGAGAATTATATAAACACTGTGCAAGAACATATAACGCCTCAACACTCATAAGCACCACATGATATTGCCCCGAAGTCATAAAAGAAACTAGAAATGTTCAAATTAACAAGCTGCAAAATCTACATATTATCCCTAATGGTGGACTGGTTAGCAAGCATTTACTTATTTACACATCCAGCTGCTATGAGACAACATTTGCCTTCATTTGGAGTCGTATACTTTCGTCCGCCTGACAAATAGGAATCCGATATTTACCTGATTTTACCTCTTTTTTGTTCTGCACCAACTCCCAAAGGCTTGTTAACTGCCTAATGCTCGACTATATGTTACCAGCTAGCTGCTAACTTTGTCTATCTGCTGTTTGCTAGTGTGCTGTTGGATTTAAAGAGCTATATTTGTAAAAACAGCTGTCTGCTACAGATGGAAATAACACCAATTGCAGCTGTGACAATGAACCAAAACATTAAAGCTGCAGGTCAGAAATGAATACAACACATTTCTGTAAAGAGTCAGATCCTGTCTCTTGATTATTCACTCAGAGAAACCAATCTTAAAACACACAGCCATTTCATATATTGGAAAAGCAGCTCTGAAGCCACACAGCTTTACTTTTTACTGCATTATGGTGATTTGCTGAACTCATTTCACAGAAGCCCACACACACTATTGTGGCTTTCAGTCAGAATAACTTCAGAAACTTCAAATGTCTACAACCTACCACTGCACTATAAGTATGTGAAATAATTAATAGAAGCTTATAGCGCACGGTTAAAGGCACTAACATGCCGTAATTGTTCCTGCTTTCTCCTGTTGCGAGTTTAATTGCTGTCATAGAGTACCTCGCCCTGGGTTCAGCTTTCTGCTTTCCTCTCCAAAACAAAACCGTCCAACAGCATGCGTGGCTCTCATTTCACCACAGTTGTTTCCCCTGTATCTAGGAACGGAGGCGTGTGTTTAAGGAAAGTATTGATGACACAATGCCCCATATCTCAAGCTGCTGGTATAGGCATAACAAGGCCATTGTTCGCAATCAAAATCCTAATCAGAGTATCAGATTGGTTCTCTTCCTTGTGATTGAAGACGGCTCTACTGTTGTCACAATGTAATCTGACTGTCCTGTCCTATGATAACAAGCTATATTAAATAATCACAGCGTACACACACAGAGGTACAAAGTTTCATAACAACAAATGTAAAAAGAAGAGATAAATCTATACATTTCCTATCAGTGCAATTGGAAAATCATCTATGATGACATAACAGCTGCACATGAGTGGATATACAATGTGTGTGTGTATGTGTGTGTGCGTGTGCGTGTGCGTGTGTGTGTGTGTGTGTACAGACCTGTGTGTTATACAGCCGCTAAAAGAGGAGGCTACATTTAGACAAGTGCCACAAAAACGGAGATATGATCCTAATGTTTTGACATAAATATGACTACATTACTATTATTAGTCCCAACAAGGGAACCAGTCATGTAAGTGTACCTTTGACAATATAACTCCATATTCATTATTTACATGTTGAGGCCAGAGGGGGGAGAAGTACTAAGATCTTGTACTTGAGTAAAAGTAGAAGTACCAGAGTGTAGGAATACTCTGTTACAGTAAAAGTCCTGCATTCAAAATAAAATAAAAGTAGAAAAGTATTGGCATCAGAATATACTTTAAAGTACCAAAAGTATAGAAGTAGTCATTCTGCAGATTGTTTTTGTGTTGATTATAATTATTGATGCATTAAAGCTTGTGAATTTACTCCAGGTGTAACTTTTAAGTGTTGGTTATATTCATTCATCCAAATATCCGCAGTAACTAAAAGGTATTATATAAATGCAGTGGAGTAAAAGTACACTCAACACCTCTGAATTGCAGTAAAGTAGAAGTACAAAGTTGCAGAAAATGGAAATACTCAAGTACAAGTACCTCAAAATTGTCCTTAACTACAGTACTTGAGCAAATGCACTTTACACCACTGATGAAAGGTGCGTAAATCCTCTTTAAAGTTAATCTTCAGTATTGTATTTCACCGAGAAAAGTCTCGAACAATATAACTGTCACTTCATGTCCATTATTTACATGGTAAGGCCCCTTTAAATCTTCTTGCACATAATTGCTACGCAGCTAAAGGCCGGCGGGATGCAGTAAAATCATGAATGGATGTTAACACAGCTGTGTTAATAGATATGGGGAAATGACGTTGCATTTGATATATAAATGTATTAATAGAACTGTATTTTTAACCAGTCACTCTAACACATGGATTTTTAACCCGCTATTATTGGAAACATGCAACAGAAGTGCCTCGCCCCCTCTGCGTTGGCTACGTCAAGCTAACAAGAATATAACCGGAAGTGGAGCGAATCTGCCTTCAAAATAAAAGTTTGGTTGTAAATTCAGTGACGTTTTGAATGGGGGTTTTTTGACCGCCGCTTTTATTTTGAAAGTCCAAACTGATAGTGGTTTGTTATTAATGGAAACAACCTTGACAACAGCGCTTTTTTCTCCTTTCTCTACAAGCACCTCAAACTAGCCTAAACTGGATGGCCAAAGGCGCATCAACAGCGGCAACACCTAAACACACACCAAAACAGTGGCTGGAAATCAAAACCCATATGTTTTAACAAAAAATATTGTCAATTTTATTCATAAACCTTGTGTTTGAGTGACTGGGCGCTGACATGGGGATGACTAGGCCCACCAATCACACATAAACGCTGGATAATATGGTCCTAGATTCAACCTCTTACCTCTTCTTCACGTTCATTCTTGAAGCACAGACATGCTGCTCGTTTCTTGAAACCATCGCCATCGTATGTCCTGGTCTGGTTCGGTTTCAGCTTCATTGTGGATGAAAAACCGGTGGAAAAAAACACTGAAAAGGGTCCAGAGAGTTCAACAGCAGAGCCGCCGCATCGCTGCTGGTTTCTGCATCCGTGGTTTAAAGAGGAGGAGAAGGAGGAGGAGGAGGAGGGTGTTTGGAGAGATCCCAAGGTACCACTATTGTGGATTTTGGTTTTACGCATGAAAACAGAAGGATGGATAAAAAGTCAAGGCTCCAGCTGCTGCCCGTGATTTGCAGTCTGCAGTGAGTGTGTCCTGTAGGAAGAGATCTTATGTAGACTACAGCCTACACAGCACACCCTCCTCTGGATCCATTTGCGCATGGCCGCTGACTCAGTACAATGAACAGGCAGACTGGAGTTTCACATGCACTGATCACTCCTCTGAGGCAGCGGTGAGCTCATTGGTTGGTTTAGCCTCAGTGGGCGGGGCTACACTTCTGGTTCAAAACAGTGGTAATAAACAAATGCGTAATTTCTTAGTCTGAACTCCACCAGAATGCTGCTGCAGATCATGGGACTTTTTTGCTAAGAAGACTTGGTAGATTATTACACACAGAGGAGGGAGGGGTACTCAGATATTGTAGAGTAGAACTACAGGAGTGTCGGAAAACTCTGTTGTCATTTGTACTTTTAACATATCTTGCTTTCTAGCAGAGCAAAAACATAAACACTGTAAATACTGAAACACTGACTGAAAATGACCATAAATGTGAATTGACACAGATGACACGTTATGGCCTACAAATTGGCGAGGGTGGGTAGAACTACTTAGATCTTGTACTTAAGTAAAAAAGTACCAGAGTGTAGTAATACTATGTGACAAGTAAACATTCTGCACTCGAGTAAAAGTAGGAAAGTATTAGCATCAAAATATACTCAAAGTACTAAAAGTAAAACAGAAATACACATTTTTTGAACATATAGTCACTACTCTCCACTGATTCACAGAGAACATGTAGATGAGCTGGCCTTGGTGTGTTTAACAGATACAGCCTTGGTGTGTGTATGGTGCAAAGCTTTTTAAATGGTTGGATGCAACAGTAAATACATTTTCTAAATAATTGTGTAAAGACAAAAAGGGCACAGGTGTAAGTTTATTATTTGAGTCATAGGCTCAGCTTAGAAATTAAATTAAAGACTACCAAATAAATACCAGCCCTATAGGCTCATGTATTTGTCATGATACAGTCAGCCAGTGACTTCTTTATTGCACCAAATGCATGTCTTTGTACAAGTCCTACTTGTTCCAAACACAGATAATGGTACAATCTGTCTCGCTTTATTTGCTAAAGGAAGCTATGGTGTTATATAAAAGTTAAATGTTGTATAAAGTGAGCACTCAAATGTAACCTGTAGCACCTCCTGGATTCCAGTCATTGTGTCTTGTGTCTTTTTGGGAGTGTTTTTTATCAAATTGCACACAATATCAAAAATGATGTGTTCAAAAGTTCAAGTAATCAAGCATTTTTGGGAATGTCAGCAACTCCCATGTTTCATGGAATCATAAATGGTATTTACACAATCACCTAATCAAGTTGAAAGTGTAATGAATAATATGCTTAAGTCTTGTGTTGTAACTAACTAGGGGTCAGAGGTCACAGTGTTGCAATTCATCAGTTTTAGGGGGAGTTGTCACTGTGAATAAGCACCACTCCTAACTTCTCCCCCTGATTAAACACCTCTGACTAACATCTGTCTCTGCTCTTACAGTATCTGAAGGCGCTCCCATGCTGTCGCTGGTTCCACTTCAAATCATAAAGTAAGGTATATGAATGATGCCTTCCCTTCCCTCCGTAACTACAACACAGGTGGGGATTGCATTGTGAGCGGCTGTAACTCATTAACACATTGAGTGTTTCAGTGATGCGCTCAATTAATGGTGTTGGATCCAGATACTCACCCCCATAGTGCATGTCAATCAATCAATCAATCAATCAATCAATCAATCAATCAATCAATCAAGCATGTGTGAATGATATTGCCCCAATACCCTCAGTTAATCTGTGAGGATGATCACAGTGTTGTAACTCCACAGATAACATCTAAAGCCAAATGACCTCCAGGAGAGAATAATCAACAGATGAGTGACACTGTTAAAAGTGGTGAGACAGTGCTCTTGTTTGTGAAGATAATCAAGAGGTATTAGTAGAGTGATTTTTATATTACATGTTAGACACTGTTATCCAAAGCGGCTTACATACTCAACACTGTCGGTAATCCCCACAGGAGCAATTTGGGGTGAAGTGTCTCAGGGACACAACGACATGCTGACTGCAGTGGAGTTTGAATCTGTGCCCCCCCTGATCCGAACACCAACGCACTAGCCCACTGCGCCACACGGCTCCTAATCTTTCTTAAACTTTTAGATGGATTTCCACCAAAAAAAGGGACATAACATGTTCACATCTCGTTCGAATCATATTTATGACTTTCCCTGAGATGGTTATTATCTTGGTTCGGTTTGTTTTTCATTTATTTGTTGGATTTAGAAAAATATAAAAGCTCATAAATAGCATGAAAATATAGCTAAAAATACATCAAATAGTAGATAAGAACACATACCTACAAACGAAACATCCACCTGATGTGAAATTGAATAAGGAATACAAAAATGATGATAATAGTGATTGAATAAATCTGAATATATGAGTGATTCTGAGGGTTAGTACATTGTTTAAGTATAGGAAGGCTTTAATGGTATAGAAACATGTTAGAAAATGTATTTATTTATACCATTATAATGTCATTTGCCCATTATATATAATGGTAAGTCATTCATACTGGACTTAAATTAGAATCTTGCTTCCAAATATTACAACAGTTGTCCTGTCGTCAAATCATCTAGGTATTACTCACCTCGGAGGGAAATAAATCTTTCTGTCATGGTGCTACTTGAAGGGGTTTATCAGTTGCTTTCATAGCATGGAAACTAATAGGTCCTCTTTTAGACAAGGTGTGAGGAGAAGAAGAATCCAGTTTCTCCTGGCTCACGTCCGGACAGATGGAAGAAATATATAGACAGACGTGAATGGATTCATTGGGAGCGTCAGAAACACAAATAAACAATACAACTTTTCTACTAATCTGTCATTTGTATAACAGTGTTGGAATCCAGCTTTGAGCTGTAAGGGAACATCAGAGCCACAAAATCTCCCTCTAACTCAAAAGATAAATGTCCCGATTAACATGAGGCATCATTTATTCCCTGCTAAATCTAGTAAATAGCATCCATCAGGCTAATTTTAGCACGTGCCATCTGTTTCCCTGTAATGTCGCCATTATTAGACACTTCAGCTTTAAAATGAAGCTTTAGTAAACTCAGCCTTGCTTTATGCATATGACCATGACAAACACAAATAGGACAGGTGCTCAGAGGGAGGTGAATGTTCTCATGGGATGGAATTCATCCAATGATGAAGTGAGCTCCTGACAGTTAGCCAAGGCTGCTCAGATGGATGTGAGCTGCTGTCACTGTGGAATAAAGAGCCTCTGACGCCTCTGCTAATGGATCATGTAGCAACGAAGAGCTCAGAGGACCTTCCTGCTTTTTTTTTAGCCTACTGTTAGCTGAACAAGAGTTTTTATTCTTAAGAAACATTAATGTCTTAAGCTTGACACACCGACCCGATTTTGGGAGTCAGAGGCCATCAGAGGCAGTCGGGCATTCGCGGCGCCCTACTCATGTTGGTGTGTCCCGCACTGTCGTTGCTTTACGGCACATTTTCACACAGCAGCCGATTCAACATGTTGAATCGGCCAAAGAAAGTCGGCCAAAGAAATCACTCTGATTGGCTGTTGCCTCTTTTGAATGACGAATACACACTACCGCTGCCTGCTGGTAAGGACAGTTATTGCCACTCATTGACTGAAGTCTTTACGGTGTGTTCGTAGGCGGGCGGCGTAGCCGACGCAGGCAACGTAGCGGACGTAAAAGTCGGGACGCCTTCGGTACGCGTTCTTTGGTCTCAGGTTGGTGTGTAGCGCCCTTAAGAGAGAGATGTTGACGTTCGCTTAAACGTACCAAAAGTAAGCTAAATTGAGCTAAACAATGTGAAAAACAGTGAAAATTAGGCATTGTTAGCTAACTATTACAAAGTATTGAGACTAGTGCGTCAGGGCCTTTAAGGCCGTTTTCGTTAGTCGGACGACAAAGCGTGCCCTGTCGCCCAAACTCAATTTGGTGTGTCCCGCACCGTCGGCCGTGACACGCCTTATTTGGCCTTTCATGGCCG